CCCAGGACACAGAAGGGTAAAGGGAAATCGTGAAAAAACTGTAAAGGCCTGATGGTATCAATACATCCCAAAAGGCACTAGGACCGAGGAGGAAGATTAAAGTCTTTGTGTCCAAATTTTATTTTATCCGTTTATAATCATACACATTTTTTAAGTTTTGGCATTTAGCTTATTCTTCAACAAATGTTGCTTCCTTCCTATTTTTGATTCACTTTTTATACAGTTTTTCTTTGCAATGTACTGTGTTGCTAAGAGTATATCTATTATAATAACATACTTACAGCTATTTGCCTCTAAATCTAATTTCCCTTTGTGATTTCATTCACACTTCCAAAAACTGTTCTTGAGAATCTTTACACCATCGAAAAGTGGTCGACATAGATATTTTAATTTATAAATAAAAAGTCATAGCATTTTCTTTGTTTATTTATACATTTATATTTTGGAAATTGTGAGGTATAAGTATATATGTACAAGAATTTGATGTATATTAGTAATTACAAGGTTATCTAATATCTGAATTATTCCTAAGTGAATGATAATTACAATAAGTATGTACAAAAACAAAATCGTATGTGATTGTGCTCTTAGTTAAAAATATTTGGTGTCAATATCACACAACATAATATACATCGCTATTCACAAGGTTCTTTGTACAGGTTTAAAATGTTTACAAATGTATAATAAAATAAATTAGTTTGGAGAGAAAGTTTATTACAGTACATTGAATTAGGATGTTTAGAATGACCTTAAATACTTTAAGCTGAGTAAATTATATGGAAATATAAGGTTTATGAATAGAAACGATGCGTATTAAGATTCGACATAAGGGAGATTTATTAGCCACTCATTTGGTATTATCAAGTGGTCAAAAACGGATATAGATGGTTCTCAGCGGAAAGTAAGAACACTTCTCACAAAGGTACAAAAATATCATCCACGCAGTACAGTAGAGAGAACAACATTGCCACGGTATCAAGGGGAAAGAGGACTTATGGATATACATAGGTGAGCAATTGGATAAACAAATTGCTAATTTAAGAACGTATTTTCAGGTACATGCTGAGACACCTACATTACATCAAACAATTTTTGGCATTTGATGTATATTGCCTTTTATTTTTCATGCATTTCTTCAACAAAGTATCTCTGATTCTTCCCTTCAAATTTAGTGGACAATCTTAGTTTGTATAAGAAGTCAGTAGAATTGTCTTGTAGGCTATTTTTAAGTTGCATCAATGCCATTTTTTTATTGTTGAGTTTCTAAGCATTGCTCTTGATGATCTGATGTGATCCGCACAATGATCCTCTGTATTCTTTAACATCTAATGTTTTGACGTGTTTATGTCGTTTAAGAATTACATACATATAAGAATTACTGCTTAATCAATAACTGATTTGAATTACTTTATTGGTTGAGTCCAAGTAAATGTGAGACTATGTGAGTCTTCCTTTGTGTTTATAAGGGCCACAACAGATCCCTTTTTTAAACCTCAGATTTTTCTATAAGTGCGTCTGGCTACCATTAACGTAGTTATCACTATCTTGGATATTTTTTCTTTCTGCTGATTCTAAGTATGCCTTGAATGTAATATTACCCCTAGACACTTTACTTCAGTCACCAGATTTAGCTGTGTGCCATTTAGGCTTAAAAGACCCAATCCTTCTAAACTCCTTCTGGTAAATTTCATCACTTATGACATCCTGTAACTACAGTCAAAACCTGTTGCATTGTATCTCTGAGTGCCATTAAATTTACCGTAGACTACGATGACTAGGTCATCCGCATAACCCAGAATATTATGCATGTCGCTGGTGAGTCCAGCTATCAGCACATCCATGACCAGATTCTACAAGAAAGGAGATAAATATCTCCCCTGCGGACAGGCTCTAGCTACTTTTGCTGAAACTGTAGCCCCTTTTTAGACGAATCGCCAATATGATTGCTTCGTAGGTGTTGTTGAATGCTTTCTCTATATCGAGAGAAAGCATATTAACATCATCTCTTGGTTTTCCAGAACGTATTTTACCCTCTGTATGAGATGGTTTAGTGAGGTTTTTCTATAGAGACTCCTATTTGATACACATACTTTCCCTACTGAATCGGATTTTAAACCAATACACCATTCCTAATATGTCTATCGGGCAGTTTTTCTAAAATTTTCATCGGCTTGAGATTTAACTTTTTCCTGCTCGATTTTGTCAGATTTTGGTAAAAAAGCAACCCCTATTAGCCTTCATGCTTTGGTACGGTCCCCAATCATAAGCTAGCCTGCAATCTCATTCATAATTTTTCGTACAAAAGGTATATCTGTATAATATAAAAAATATAAATGTATTATACTCCATTCCACGAATATACGACTGTTTTAAATTCGCTTTAAGGTGTCGATTTAAATGGTCCAATGTACTGAATTGTACAATAGTAAATTCTCTCCATTTTTAAAATACTGTTACGACAGATATAAACCTTAGATTTAAATATGAAGTCATGATACAAGTATAAAGTTATAATTTAATAATTTATAAAACAGTTGTAATTCAGATTTTGAAGTATATAATTACTATCATGGAGTTTATTTTTTCATTTCAATTATTTCATTGTAAACAAGTTGGTTTTTGAATTATGTGATATAAACGAAATGTAACAATACTTAAGTGATCAAATAGTGTACATTTTTTAGTCGAATATTCAATTAATTAAAAAACACAAAAAAAGTTACTTATTCACTTATTCTCTTAATCTTCTAAAACTATCATCAACGATCAGATTCACAGCCATAATCAGTCGGTGATATATGAAACTGTATATAAATTTTCGTTACTTTTTAATATCTGTAACGACTCGGTACTTTAATTATCAATAGCCGGTATGTTATACCCATTACTTTCGGAACTTTTAAGAGTAGATAAACTCAAAGCAAACAAATATTAATTAAAACTAACAAAGTGAAATATTAGATCCTTTTTCTGGTTTGTGAACCATCGTTCTGCCAATTTCTTTTCATTTATATTAAAAATAGTATATTTTTTTTTATTACAGTTGTAAACCCGGCAGGACTCTTTGTTGTTTACATTTCACGGAAAGCTTACCCAAATGTCTGATGAACACATTTGGCTTCATAGACGTCATTGTATTTATTTGTAGATTTAAACTGAAATAATTTTAGTTTAGATGTCATACTTGTAGACCCTTTTTATTGGAATAATGATTAGACCAATTGACCTTCATACTTCTACTTGCACAGTAAAATATTCGTTGTAGCAGTAAACCAAAACAGTCGTATATTCATGGAATAGCCTATACATAGAGATTAGCATTATTGATCAAGCATTAGTCTAAAAATAATATACCATAGAAATCTAGCCATTCATGAAATGGTAAAATAGTGTTTTAGTGAACAAAACTTCCAGTTGGATACAGCATACTGAGTAAAAGAGCCAGGATACTTTGATATAACAAATAGTTTATATTCCTGCTTTCAATCCTAATTTTTCCCTTTTTTTAAGTAAGTTTTTTGTTTTCGGTTTTTAAAAGATCTATTAAACATCCAATTCATTACTGAATACATAAAAGTCCTAATAGCAACATAGATTTAAAAAAATGTTAAAATAATTTTGTTAGAATGGACAATATTCTTATTTCTTACACCAAAAACCAAATAATATATATATACAAAAGAAACTTTTAATTAAAACACTAAATCTTCATTGTTTACTTTAATTTCTTCCTAATAACAAATCAGGTGACATTTATCTCTTCATCACTATCATTCGAGCTCTCATAGTCCATACCTTCATACATCTGGTAATTTATTGGCCCAGAGCTGACCGAATTCCCAGATGGTTCCCTTTGGTGGTCAACGGGTGAACCTGCAGGAGAAATGTCTTGCATGTCACTAAGGTCCAACTTCGGTTTATCTCCGTCTGCGTCACTTAGATCGGGATGAGGGTTGTTCTTGTTTGGAAGAGTTTGTTCTCTGGATCCTCCGGCTGCAAGAAGTTCTCGTTCTTTCGAGTTCCGCCATTTCATTCGGCGGTTTTGGAACCATATCTTCACCTGCAAGGAAAAAAAGAAAAACAATAAAAATATATTTTAGCAAAAAAATGTTTTAATAATTGCCAGTTCATATGGATTATTTTAAGAATGTATCTAACATTGTGAAACTGTGTAAAACTACCAAGATGGTTTGTTTTAAAATTGTGTATATTATAAATTGAATTTTGAAAACAATTTCACATCTAGAAGTTTAAACGAAGAAGTTATTTACAAAATTTAGGACATCATAATAACTTATTTCGTATAAACTCTCCAGATAAGTTTCTGTCCCTACTATAAAAATCTCCAAGGATTTAAAACTTAAATTCAATTCCTTTTCAATACCTAATCGATAATCACATATTTCGAAGAAAATCACCAGCTAAATGTCTTTGGTTTAAAGCGTCATTAGGCTCCCTTCAAGACCCACAATACCGTATTCTCGAAATCTGGAATATCACATCTCAATAAAACAATATCAGGAAATACGGCAAGATCATTTATTGCCACAAGGGCTTGTGTTCGTTCGGTGATAATTCGTTTAGCGAAAGCGGAAGGGAAAGAGAGAAAGATCGATGAGGAGCTAGCTACAGAAGGCATCGTGGATTTAAGGGCTGTGTTTCCAGGGAGTGATTAGTGAGCGTTTTGATTGAAGTTGTTATAAATATTTCCTTTTTCTTTATTATACATATAATATATATATATATATATATATATATATATATATATATATATATATATATATATATGTGTGTGTATAATAAAGAAAAAGAAAATATTTAAAACTTTAAAAGCTTTAAAGCTTTAAACCAATTATCATTATCATTAAACTTATTCTTATATTTTATAATTTATTTATAAATTCACATTATCAAGGATCAGTTGTGTGTAACCAGGGTATTTATATTCTTTTTGTATATAAGTAACTAGATTAACTGTACATAATTGGTGGTGGGTATTTTAAGATAAATTTAGACTGTATGTATTTGGCTAGGGATTAAAGTTTTGGTGAAAACTAAATATTTCAATTAATACCTGTTTCCCTCTTTATTTCAGCAAACAGCTGATAGCAAACAACAAGATACCTTGGAAAGTTTATATAAATACTTTCCTGGCGTCCATTTACTTTTAGGAGCATTTTCTATAATCACTTTATTTTGCATTAGTTATATACCTATAGACTTTTTTTACTACCTTGTCATTCATTTTCTTATTCTACGGTCTCTGTAGGGCATGCAAATTGGCCGAATCCTCTTTTGAGTGTCAAATAGTCACTCTCCGGCAACTTCTGCTAGCCAGCTTTAAATTATATGTTATCTTTTACATTACCCCAAATACTTGTGTTACATCACACATACAGATTGAACGAATTTAAAACGGATCATACAATTTAATGTATGTTTATTTGAACTGCATTTGAAATAGTGGACCAATATAAAACTTGGACAAAAATAAATCCATACCTGGGTTTAGACATTGTATAAAATATCGTTCAACTATCTGTCTCGCAATAATGTTGTTTACGTAACAATGTTGCCAATCGCCGTGTAATAATCCGATAACACATCCGATTTCTTGTAAATATTTTATGGATAACACCTTATTTGAGAAACATCTAAAGGAATGAGGTTGGCAACACCGCTCAAAGAAGGGCTTGTCTAAGGAAACGATAAGTGGTTTGACAGTATAATTAAATCGTAGATTTATGTGTAACTTTAGTATTGGATTTTTATAATATAATTATTTGACAACCTTTTGTTGGCCAACCACCTACAGCAAAATTGAGCCGAAATACATAATATTTCGTATGTTCCGCATTTATTTCGTTCAATTTGTATACACTCTTACTACATTGGCATCCTAAACCTCTCAGTCCTCACATTTTTATTACATTGGCGCACAAAGCATTTTTGTTACACTAGCCCAACGGTGTTGTGGGAACATTTCTGGTGCGCGTGCTGGACAAAAAACCCTCATATTTATTTCTGACAGTCTTCTTCTAATCGTTTTTTTACTCACACTAACGTTTCTCAGCTCAAGAAGAGATCTACGAGCTTCAGGAGTGGTGCAAAAGCGATTTCTCAATACCTTAGTGACAATGAAGCCGTCATCTCGAACTGAAGTGCATCGTTTTCGGCCTTGACCTGACCTATGGTTGTACTATCCTGTCTCCCGAAATCGTCTGATGGCATCTTGCACCGTAGTTCGGGGTACATCAATTATACCAGCAATATGACGTTAACTGTAACCAGCATCAACTCAAGCCACTGTCCTAGCAGCATTAGTTGGAACGAGTGGCATTTTTAAAATCACAAACAATAAATAAGCATTAGAATTTCAACTTAAACAATATTCGCTCACAATGATATAAAATTACAATTTTAATTGTTAATTTTAATTACAAATATAATTTTAATTACAAATTGTTCAAGAATTGTTATTAACACGGAAGCATATTTGCAACAATGTCGTATAATATGTCAAAAATCCTTCGATGGCACAAATTTAGGAAACAAACTGTCATAGGTAATGTAAACAAAACAATAGTAAAGGTGGTGGGGTTAATTTTGCTGGTGAGTTATATCGTCTGTATTGATGAAAAATATGACTACTTGTTAAACTACCTAACTTTTGTATCCAACATAAGCGATTGAATCAAAAAACAAAATGTTGAGAAAACGTGAGGCTATAGTTAGGTTTTAATTTCAATATTTTATAAATTTTAGAATATTCCACAGGGTGATGCAAACTTTAAAAAAACACAGTTTAATTCGTACACCCGGTATACAATGCAAATTTACCTGTTTAGCAACCATATTATTATAACGATATTGTCAAGGAATAAGGCTATAACGTATTAAAAAAAATCAAACAACAGATCGGACAACAGGTTTAGGGGATATAAGACATCAAAAAATACCCATTTTTAAGGTGGCCGGTTAATTTTTGCCCAGAATGTTAAATCGGAAGTATTTACAAGGAATTTCATAAACTCCGTGTTATTCATTTAGAACTTTGTCTTTGATTGATCATACAAGAGATGACAGTTCGAATTTGATAAGCCTAGTGAGCGGACGTATTCGAGTGCTGGTATTTTTACTTTTTGTTAAGATAAGTATATTACCTGTTATAATTATATTTTAATTGATATTTGAACCTCGTTAATTTTTCAAAGTTTTGTTTTGGTTTGACTAATTACATATTTTATTTTGATTAATTGATAAAATTTGAAATATTTTATATATAGAAGCTGTAGATAAAAACATCTAAAATTAATTAAACCATGGGGGAAAATACGGGCGGGGAACCGCCCGATTTAAATCAATGTATGAATAATAGTGAAAAGGGAAAGAAAGATGATTTTAATAATATTATTGATCTAGAAAATCGCTATAGACCAGGCGATAAAGGTCCTTATTTCGTGTTTGTGGAACATAAAGAAAAAAATATTGGTAAACTTTTCCCAATTAAAATTGGGCACTACCTACTCCCTGATGAAACATTAAGTAAAGAAGTAGAGGATATAAAATCAGTAGGAATTAACCGGGTAAAAGTTATATTTAAAACTTTGGAATCGGCTAATTCTCTAGTTAATCATTATGTAATCAAACAAAATAATCTAATCGCATATATCCCTAAATTCTACACCCACAAAAAGGGTATCATAAGAATGGTCGATACTTTTTTTTCCGAAGAATACTTACTAAATGCCATTATTTCCAATAAAAAAGTAGTAAGTGTTCAAAGAATGAAAAGAAAAATAATAGATTCCGATGGAAATCCCTGTTTAGTTAACAGGCAGATGATTATAGTACAATTTCTGGGGAATGAAATTCCACAAAACATTCAAATTAATCTCTGCAATTTCCAAGTAGAGCCATATATACAACCAGTTGTACAATGCTTTAAGTGTTTGCGTTATGGTCATTCGGCCAGACAATGCAAATCTAAAGATAGCAGATGTAAAAAATGCACTAGTTTGGATCATCTGGAAGACGAATGTCAATTAGAAAATGTTTGCATATACTGTAAAAGTAATGAACACACTTCAATCTCGCGAAAATGCCCTGTCTTCACGAAACAAAAACAAATAAAGCAGATTATGGCCCAGGAAAATATTTCCTTTAAAGAAGCCGAAAATATGTATATAAATCCTTCTTATTCAAAAATTATTACGAATAACAAGTTCTCAATATTAAATAATATTAATAACTTTCCACCATTACCAGATGTTAAGCAAAAATCTTCTCAACCTTCCTCAGCAGTCTTAAGGAAACCCTCTATCAAAACAATTATGCCTACTTCAAAAAAACGAAAACCTTCCCCTCTATCTCCCACCACAGAAATTTCACCAATAAAAAAAACTCCTACTAAATTAACATTGAATTCTAATACTGTTCTTCCTAATCCTTATAGAGACGAATATATGAACTATAAAGAAAAGTCAATTCTTATATTATCTACATTCGTTAAACAACTTCAAAAACATTTTCCGTCTAGCTCGGTTACTTTTGCAGATTCAGATATAAGAGAATTTGTTAATAATATGTTTGATTCCGATAATCCCAATGATGGAATGGACTTTAACATTAGTGGGTCTGAATCCGAATATTATTAATCTTCCCGATTCCTAACCACAAAATTACAAAAGAAAAACTATGTATTTTGCAGTGGAACATTAGATCATTAAAAGCAAATAAAGCAAGTTTAATTAATTTTATTCACAGTTCACAAATTGACATTATTGTTTTATCAGAATTATGGCTTAAACCTGACGAAAACTTTTTTTTGAGAGGGTTCAATTTAGTTAAAAAATGTAGAGTTGATGGTTTTGGGGGGGTAGGCATTTTTATAGCTGAATGGTTAGCGTTTAAAGAGGTTAATATCATGCAATCGTCAAACAAAAAGCTAGAAGTTTGCGCAATTACTTTATCTGGTATAAACTTGTCAATAGTATCTATTTACCGACCACCCGACGTGGTTGTCAAATTCACCGATTGGATAGAATTATTTCAGCAGTT